GAAACAGGGTCTCACTGAGTTGCTTAGCAGTCTTGCAGTTGCTGAGGCTAGCTTTGAACTCTCAATCCTCCTACCTCAGCCTCCCAAGCAGCTGGGATTACAGGAGTATGCCACTGCACCCAGCCCTCCCTCAGCCTTTTAAGTAGCTAGGATTACAGGCGTGTGCTTCTGTGCCCAGCTAAAGCATTATTGTTATTATTTTTTCATACAGACAGGCATTTACTAGAAAAGTGAGAAATGAGTATAATATACAGTATAGGCACTGTGTGAACCACCTCTTCAGAGAATTGCTTATTTATCTACAATAAATATCCACATGTCCTTCTCCTAGATTACTTCTAACATTTTATCATATTTGCTTTGTCTCTAATGTATGTGTGCACATATTCTTTTCACACACACACAATTATTTCTGCAGAACCATTTGAGAAGTTACGGACCCTTTATCCATAAATAATTCAGCTAGTTATTTTCACCGACATTCTGTTATTATAATCACAGTAAAACTGCTATTGATTAATCATAGCATCACAAAGAAAAGGACACCCAGACACCATGGTTACTGAAGTGATGCAATCGAAAGGAAGTAAAGCATCACCTACAAAGTATTCTTGCCAAAGATTATGGCTGAATATATCCAAGTGTCTAGATTACAGGTGGCCTGGTTTTGTAAATAAAGTCTGACTGGCACAGTCATGCTCATTTTTTTTCTAGGGCTGAAGCCAGCCTTAAATATTTACCATGAGGTCCTTTACAGAAAGTTTGTTGGCCTCTGCCCTAGAAATAACTACTAATTTTCTTTTTTAATTCTTTATTTTTGGTACTGTGGGTTGAACCTAGGTCCTTGTGCACGCTAGGCATGCACTCTGCCACTGAGCTAGAACCTCAGTTGTTTATTACTAGTTTTTTAAAAATATTTTTTAGTTGTAAATGGATCTTTTATTTTACTTTTTTATTTATATGCGGTGCTGAGGATCGAACCCAGGACCTCACATATGCCAGGCAAGTGCTCTACCACTAAGCCACAACTCCAGCACCTGATTACTAGTTTTAAAGGAAAAATGGAAGATACATGTACAATGATACAAAAGACATGTAATTTGCCATTCTAGAATGTGAGAAGCTCTACAAGAAAAATTGGTTTCTGCAACAAGTAAATAAATGGTAGGAAAACAAAAAAGGGAGAACTGTTTAGGTTAAAAGAGAACTCCCAACTACTATGTATAACCGTAAAGTTCTAACAAAAAAGAACTTAAGGAGATATTTCAAGCAAATACAATTTATGGACCTTTATATGAATATATGACATTAATAAAGCAATTAGGAATTGAGAAAATCTGAACTCTGAGTAGATAGGATGTTGAGGAATTATTGTTAGTTCTTTTGGTGTGAAAATGCTGGTGGGAATATATTATTAAGAAAAATACTCAGGCTGGGGCTATAGGTCAGAGGTAGAGTGCTGTTCAATTCCAAGTACAAAAAAAAAAGGGGGGGGGGGGCCTGGGGTTGTGGTTCAGCAGTAGGGCGCTCACCTAGCACGTGTGAGGCCCTGGGTTCGATCCTCAGCACCACATAAAAATAAATAAAGATATTGTGTCCAACTACAACTAAAAAAATAAATATTTAAAAACAAAAGGAAAAAATAAAGACTATTTCTAATATTGAAATATTTAAACAAGAAATTAAATGTTTAGGATTTCCTTGAAAATAATTCAGTAGCAGTAGAGATGGGATAGCCACAAAATGATAACTTGAAGCTGGGTGATGGGTACAAGGGGTTTAATGATATCTTGTTTTTTCTACTTTTGTGAATGTTTGAAATTTCTACAGTCAACAAAAAATCCATCAAAGACTGAAAAAAGTCATGAATAGTTATAATTTTTCTCCCTTAAAAATTCCATAGTAGGGAGAGACAGTAGAATGAATCAGACATAACATTCCTATGTTCATATATGAGTACATGAGCAGTGTAACTCCATATCATGTACAAACACAAAAATGGGAAGTTATACTTCATGTATGTATGCTATGTCAAAATACATTCTAATGTATAACTAAAAAGAATTTAAAAATTCAAAAAAATAAAGGAGATTGTTGTTAGTGTCCAAAATAGGGAAACAATGATATGCATAGGATATATGCTCTGATGTGAAATGTTGAATTTAATAAAGTTATTTCCTAATTGTCTTTTCTCAAAAAAAATTCTACAGTAGGGGCTGGGTGATGTAGCTTAGTGGCAAAGTGCTTTTAAGGCCCTGGATTGGATCCCTAGCACCAGATAAAAAGTATCTACAATAAACTATAAGCTGTCCCCTTTACATTTGCCATAAGAGGAAAACAAATCCTTGTGAAATAAATTTAACAAAAAGCAGTACCTTGTTTCTTATGCGGTCTCTCTTAACCACTTCCTCTTTCTTTTCAGATTTTTCTGAGCTGCCTATTGATTCTGTACTTTCATTCTTCTTTCCTTTATCACGAAGTGCTTCTTTCTCTTTTTTAATCTCTTCTTCTTTTCTTTTAAAAGCTTTCTCTTTCTCATAGCGCTCTTTCTGCCTTCGGCGCTCTTCTTCTTGCCGCTTTAGTCTCTCTCTCTCACGGAAAATGCGCTCCTGATCTCGTTCGTAATCTCGTTCCCTCTCCCTATAGTCTCTGCAACTCTCATCTTCAGATCTGCATGAAAACAGAGACTGAACCCTCAAACATAACCACAAATGCAGGAACACTAATTCTGATTTGGCCCCCCAGTGAGGTTGCACTTTTACAGCAAGGAAAAAAATACTAGTGTTCTAGAAAACAACAAGACCCCAAAATCATTGATCCAAATTAAGTTACCAGAATATTTGACCTTCCTCCTTGTCTCCTTATCCCATATTAAACAGTTTTATCTTAATCCAAATACAATTCCAGGTTATAGCAATGAAATTAGCATCTAGCAATCAAATATAGCCAAGAGCCCTTGACTGACTGACCTCTTTGGCTTTTCATCTTTAAATTCGCCTTCAGAATGCTTGGGCAGTATACAACTTTGCCCACTGGGTCTTTCATCATTCAGATTCTCTTTGTCCAGTTTCTTGGCTTTTTCTCTTTTGTCCAACTCTTTTTCATCTCCTTTTTCTGGTTTCTTGAGTAACTTTAAAGAAAACACGTTGTTTTATTTTGAAGAGTGGGGCACTGTCTTTGGATTCAATTAAAACAATATACTAAATATTTAAAGTTTAGACTGTAGAAGGCCCCCATATTTCTGCAGGTTCTCTTAATCTTTCAGGTGAACAATTAGTGCACGAGAATAGTAATGCTATTAATGTGAAAGTGTTATCCACCCAAATTAAGTGGTTTAATCACTTTGTGGCAATGGGATCAAGACTCCTTTGGCTTTGAATGGGTCAACCTGTAAGTGAACCAATGCACACCTCCAAGTATGCTTTGTAGCACACCAGCATGTCTATCAATATAATTTGATGGGAAAATATTTCACAAATTCAAAATGTTATGTAGATCATTACTATAGAACTATCTATGGGTATGAATTTGGAATGACAAATATCTTGGTCACCAAAGGAGAGATCCATTGCAGGAATAATTCTGCCTTGAGCCTGAGAATAACATATTTATGATGGTAAAATTATCATTAGAGATAAATAGCAAGAATTACCTGGTATTTGATTTAAAAATCCAAATGCCTTATATTATAGATGGGGAAGTTCCATCTCTACTGAGTAGGAACTCCATTCAATGGCATATATACATATATATATATATATATACACACACACACACATAAATATATATAAAATATATATACACACATATACACACACACATATATATATGACACACATATATATATGTTCAAAAATGCTATTCTTTCTCACATCACTGCTATAAATCTCTCTAGAATACTCACACTTAAGTGTAGTCAGAGAGATTCTTAGGCAAAATAGAAGTATTTTAAGTCTCAAAGTGAGGGCTTCATACAAGGTTCATCTCAGGGTAAAGGCATCATACTAGTCACCAAGCAAAAGGCAAAGCATCAGAAGACTTAAGCATGGAGCATTCCAGCACACAGACAGCCACTGCAAATAGGAGTCCAAATTGGACAAGAAGAAAGCACCACTGTAAAGTGAGGATACCATGTGCAGGTTTCATTGGACGTGTTCTTATTTCTTTAATGAACATCTGTATTTGAAGCCAAGATGTTTATTATTCTAATAAGAACATTAATGAATGTCTCTAGCATGGCTGGCTCTACCTTCTGCCTTGCTGATCATCAGGAATAGCAAGTCAAATCACTTGTGGCACGGCAGACAAAGAGATTGCTGGAAAGAATTAAAATGGGAAACTCCCCCTTCCCCTAAGCACCTGTTACCAATAATGAGTCCTGTGCAGACTCAGGGAACCCTAGCCACATAAACTTCTGAGTTTTCAGGAGGTAAAAGGAGACCCTGCTGCCATCTCTATGAGATGTTCTCTGACTTTCTGAAGTACTAGGTACTAGTACTTCCCCAAGAAGTGAGAACTGCCCAAGCCATGCCCTCAGAAGAAAAGCAGCAAGGTTGGGATCTTTCTACAGGGTTTCTCCTTCCTACATGCAATGCACTGATCAGAATCTGCTACTCACAGATTCTCAGATGCAAGAAGATAACATGGGAGTCATGTGAGAGGGGAAAAATACTTAATGCAGGATATTTATCCCTAGTCCTCCCACAAGGCAGCCAGTTATGAGAGGCATATAAGATGATGAGAAAGAGGTATATAGGCCTGGTTGTCCTCTGGCTGTATGTCATTGAAGCAGAACATTAGGAAATCACCTCAGCTTCATTTTAGGGTAGGAATTTAAATAGCTCAGCTTTTAAAAAGACCCACATCAGTCTGAATGGGTTTAATAGGTAACACTACCACCACCACCACCAAAAGGACTGAGGAGCTAAGACCTGTGTGTGTGACATGATACTAGGTGCTCTGTATCATGTAATTGGTCCTTACATTTTTCTGATTCACAGCTTGTAACAGAAACCTGTGTACCTGAAGACAGTGGAAAACAAACAGATGAGGCAACTTCATGTATCAATTATGAAGGAAAAGCTGAATAAAACCCAAAATTCATGCCAGCCAGCCCTGAGCCCTCATTTACTGTGAACTGAGACTAATAGTTCAAATATCAAACATTTTCAATGATTTTTAAAAAAGATATTCATTAAATAATATCATATACAATACTTAATCCTTATAAATTATCATAATTTAAAAAATTATTTTAATAGGAAAGATTTTTACTTGTGTACTACCACCCCCTGCAAAAAAGGACAACCCCCCCAAAACAGCAACAACCAAAAAAACTCATTTACACAAACACAAGATGCATGCAAAAAAAAAAAAAAAAAAAAAAAAACATGCAATTTTAAGCAACATGTAGTTGGTTTCAATTATTTTCATACCTTAATCTTTGGTTCATCCTTTAATCTATCTCTTTCTGGAACTCTATCTATCTTCTTTAGCTTTTCTATATCTTTCCTTTTTCTTTTCTCCTCCTCTTTCCATTTCCTTCTCTCCTCTTCTCGTTGTCTTTTTCTTTCTATTTCTCGCCTTCTTCTTTCTTCCCTCTTTTCTTCTCTCATTCTCTAGAAAGAGACATTGAAACAAGTCTTCAAACAAAACATCACCTAAAACCTAATCAATCCCAAAGGCATGGTAGTCACTAAACTGAATCATCTTTCCTTCCTACTTTCTACCACCTACTCAAACCCCCACCCTACTCAGAAAATGAGAGAGAAAGTAGAGAACCTGCTAAAATCCCACTGCTGCCTTCTATATTTTCAGAATCTTTCAATATGTGTCAAGAATGTCTCTGGGATAAGCTAAGGGCTCTGCAGATTTGCAGAGTGAACCCCTGGTCCCACAACCAGAGTGAAGGAGAAGGCCAAAGTGAGACTAAGGAGCCAATTCTTTAAAGAATAGTTGTGGAAAAAGTGGCTATTTCTCCTATATGAGCCCAATGCTCTTAAAATGTTTATAGAATATGAACTAACGAATTTAAAGAGAAAACTATAAAAACAAAAGATTTACCTGCTTGTTTTTCAGGAAGCTCAATAGTGGGGTTGTCTTTTTAGCTACATAAATATAAACAGATTGTTAATAATACTTGTCAACCCTTAGAAAGGATTCCACTTTCTGACATTTCATGCCACCAAACCAAGATGGGAAAACTATACCCCTTAGACAGAAAGTTCACAATTGTATTATCAAAAAGAAGTTTAATAGTATTTGATTTCAACAATACAGGTTTAAAATACTTTTTTAAAAACTGAAGAAACTCCCATTAAAATAATAAATCAATCTTTTAAGAGTAAATTTGCAGTTAGTGAGAATTATGTACAAAGGTCATTCTCTTGTTTTACTGATAGGAGTACAAATTTGTTCGAGTGGAAACAAATTGAAGAGACTAAAAATATCCAATCCTTTTGACCCCGTATTTCCACTAAGGGAATTTATTGTAAGGATGTTACCCAAAATGGACTTATCTTATGCAGCCATTAATAAAAAACAAGTTTTAGACGAAAAATAAGTCAATTTTTTAACATTCTGAAAAATGCTATGAGCCTTATAGTCATCTCTTTTTTTTTTTTTTTTTTTTTTTTTGGTACTGGGGATTGAAATTGAACCCAGGGGTGCTCAATCACTGAGCCACATCCCCAGCCCTTTTCACTTTTTATCTAGAGACAGGGTGTCACTAAGTTGCTTAGGGCTTTGCTACATTGCTGAGGCTAGCTTTGAATTTGCAATTCTCCTGCCTCAGCTTCCTGAACTGCTGGGATTACAGGCATGTGCCACCACGCCCTCCTACAATTAACTTTTGGAACACATTACTTCCTGAAAACAAATTCCTAGGAGTGGAAATCATAGTCAAAGACTATGCTCCTGTTTAGAACTGCTACTGTAATATCAACCTTACTTAGAACCAACATTCAAGCTACAATTTCTCCAAGAGTTTTTCAATTTTGCAGTAACTAATTTCATTTTTTCATATTTTCAGGTCAAAAAAATTTTAAGAATACCAGGTAATCTTCAAAGACATACCACTGTCTAAACATGCCTTATCAGTCTTTAAACTTTTTTTTAAACATGACATTATGCAGGTAACCAAGAATTTGTCCCATCTTATCAATGCATTCTCATAATTCTGTGAGACAGGTATTATCTCTGCATTTTCCAATAGAAGAAATACTCAGAGAAGGGAGTGACTTCCCCAAGGTCACACAGAGCAAGTGAGGGAAATGGGAGATAGACTTGGGTATCTGATGAAAAAGCTGTTGCCCCAATTCCTTTGCCCACTTACCTATTAATTCTCTGTTTTTGGCTTCTATTTCCTCTAGCAGTGTCTCTGGAGTAGATGTCATTTTCTCATTATCTGTGGCATAAGTCTCCAAAAATTTTCTATATTCTGGATCTAAATAATCATTTAAGAAACCAGAAAACTGAGACTTTAAACAAAAAAGGAAATACTATCTAAGATACTTATTTAGCAAAGAAGATAAGTTTCTACTTCATAAAAGACTGAAAAATACAGAAGATAAGACTATTTGGGGCTTAACTGGTCCCTTACTCTTAGAACTCCCTTTACTAATACCTACTAAGGAAATCTGGGTCAAGAAAAATGAGACACCACACATTTAAACAGACTCACCAGGGGTGTTATAGTTTGCTGTTAAAAATCAACATTCCTACTAATCTGAGTCACACTTGTGGGAGAACTAAATAAAAGTTATATATGTGGAACCTTCAGAGAATATTAGGTATAATATATAAGCAATTCCTATATGAATACACCTCACTTTAAGTAAATTCAACATAGAAAATCGGGTGTTCCAAAAAGATAAACTGGTGAGATGGAGGGAAAGTCCTAGATGTGGTACAGGAGGCAACAATAATTCCTGTAGTTCTTTCCTAGAAACCTCTCAGAAAGAGATATACATCTGGCTCATTTCTACACATTGATCTTGTCTTCTGTATCTAAATCTGTGGTATCATCAATAAGCAGCTATGTTATTGAGTTTTTACTATTTAATAACATATCTTTTATGTTAACAAATGATAGAAATTCAACCAGATGATCCTAAAATATCAATCTCTCATACAAAGTATTTGCAGTAAAAAACCCTTACCCAAAATAACAAAGAGTTATTACACAATACTTGTCCAGCATAACAATACAGAGATCTTAAAATCTGGAGCTGGTCTACCTAACATAGAACTTATTGTAGTTTTTTACTTCCTGTATTTTTATTCAACCTAATTACTACATGTGCGGTTAACTACATATTCAAAGCCTAGAAAATAGTACTACTTCAACAACTTTATATGAAGTTACTTGGGTATGGAAATTTTTCCATCATGGTTCAAACCTTCTTCTTTATAAAGATGATGGAAACTAAAAATCAAATAATTGTAACAATGATAAGGCACCTCAAGGAACAGCTGTACTTGGAAACATCTGATTTTCCCCCATTGTCTTCTACTTAATAAACCCATGATGATTTACCACTCAGTAGTCAATATCATATTGCTCAGTGGTAGAAGAATGAAATGCCACTAGCCAGAAAGCAGAAACTCTGCAAGAAACCCATCTACATTCTAAGAATTAAGCAAAGCTTTCACTGAAATAACATTTCTCATTAACTTTATTCTGTTTGTTTTCTAATTTAAAATACTGGGGTCTAATGAATTCTTAAAATTGACTTAATTTTTTAAAAGTCTATGGCAATAGCATTATGTAACTAAAGCTATACTGTACCATCATCAATAGTCCCAACTTTGGTATCTCTTTTCTTAGTCTTCTTTTTTGCAGCTTTTTGAAAAGGTGCAAATTCTACTATAGCAGGATATTCCTGACCTGTTTAGAGAAAAAAATATATATACTTTCTATAACAAAGAAAATGTAAAAAGTGGATACAAGAGAATCTATCCACCGTTTTCTAGGTCTCCTCAGATGACAGTCATTTGAAGACAGTCTCTCAAATTGCATAAATCACACTGGCACAATTGTAATCAACAGGCTACCAATGGAGCCCCAAATTCACACTAAAAACATAATTAGTGACAATGGCAGCAAGCTGAGTGTGTGGCACACACCTGTAGTACCAGTAGCTTGGGAGTATGGAATGAGCTCAGAAGTTTGAGATCAGCCTGGGCAACACAGCAAAACCCTGTCTCAAGTACATTAATGAAGATATGGCAGGTAAGTAAAATATTCATTTAAATTCAACTTGTAAAATGTGGCACTTTGATATGTAAAAACAAACCCTGTACATTTTTGTTTAAAAAAATTAGAAATCTTGGGCTGGGGTTGTGGCTCAGTGGTAGAGTTCTTGCCTAGCATGTATGAGGCACTGGGTTCGATTCTCAGCACCGAATATAAACAAATGAATAAAATAAAGGTCCATCAACATCTAAAAAAATGTTTTAAAAATTAGAAATCTTGGGCTGGGGCTTAGCAGTAGAGAGCTCGCCTAGCACGTGCAAGGAGTTGGGTTTGATCCTCAGCACCACAATAAGTAAGCAAGCAAGCAAGTAAATAAATAAATAAATAAAGGTATTGTGTCCAATTACAACTAAAAAAAATATTTAAAAAAATTAGAAATCTTGCCAGGCATGGTGGCGTATGCCTGTAATCCCAGCAGGTTGGGAGGCTGAGGCAGGATGATCACGAGTTCAAAGCCAGCCTCAGTAAAAGCAAGGCACTGAGCAACTTAGTGAGACCCTCTCTCTAAATAAAATACAAAATAGGGCTGAGGATGTGACTCAGTAGTCAAGTGCTCCTGAGTTCAAACCCCAGTACTAAAAAAAAAAAAAAAATAGAAATCTCTAGAACAGGCAAATTTAAAGAGAGGTAGAAGCTAGATTAATGGTTGACCAGAGCTTGGGATGATGGTGGTGAGAATAGGAGTTAACAACTAATGGGTATGGGGTTTCTCTTTGGGGTGAGGAACATGTTCTATAATTAGATGGTGGTGATGGTTGCACAACTTTGTAAATATATAAAAAGCCACTGAAGTATATACTTTAAAAGGGTAAATTTTATGATATGTGAATTATATCTCAAAAAAGCTATTACTTTTAAAAAGGTAACTACCTGAGTTGATAGGTGTGTTAACTAAATTCACTGTGATAATTTCACAATACAAATGTATATTAAATTATCATATTGTACAATTTAAACATATATGT